CACACACACACACACACACACACACACACACACACACACACACACACCTTGATACGAAAACAAGTCTGCCATCCAAAATTTGTCACCATGATGCTTGAAGGAGGCAGCCTTGCTTGCTATGGCAAAGGCTGCTCTTAAATTTTGATTGGTACTGCATGCCTGTGATCCCAGTGGTGGAGAGAGATGGCTAAGGAATTCAGTGACCACCTTCAGGCCAGCCTCAGCAATTTAGTGTATTCAAGGCCAATTCGAGGTACATAAGAGCATGACTCAAAACAACAAATAAAAGTTACTTGTGGGGAAACACACCTGTGTCCAAAGCTTCACAGGAGCCTGAAGCAAGATCTGCAGTTCAAGACTAACTTCCACCACTCAGCAAAACCCTTTCTCCAAAGTACTAAATAAAACACAGTGGCTGAAGAGATAGAGCAGCAGTTAAGAGTGCTTGCTGCTCTTCCGGAAGATTACAGTTTAGTTCCTTCCATTCCAAATCATGTGCTTCAAAACCACCAGTGATTTCAGCTCCAGGAGATTTGACATAATTATATCATTTCTGTCCCCCTCTTTCTTCCCTCCAACATCTCTCACATACCACCCCCCTGTATGTTCCCTGTCAAACGACAAAGCAGAAGAGACTGGAGATGGAAATCTACAGTAGAGTACTTGCTGCACATGCATAAAACCCTGGCTTCAATCCTCAGGACTTTAAAAAAAATAAAAAAACAAATGAATCAGTAGTTGACTAAATAAGGCACGCTTCATTTGAACAGTGGCATTATTGTGCAGCCATAAAATTTATAGTAATCTGTGCATGTGCTTCCAGATGAAGTTCCCAGATGTAGAAATTAAATAAACTACAGCAGAATGTGAGGTGTGTTTTTCCAGCTGAATTCTGATGTTTATGTGCATACTGAGCTTCTGACAGGAGGTATACCAGCCACTGGCTCCATGGCATAAAGGGAGAATGACCATAGACCTTGTGCATGTCTTTGTAGCATTAGCATTTTATTTTTCATAGGCACACATCTCCTCCCTAGTTTTAGAATGGGAATAACTTTCAAAGTTTTACACTAAAGAGCATTCCAGAACTTGAGACCCAAGGCAGTGTGATATGGAGTGATCCTAAAGAGAACAGTGGGCTTCTTAGAGTAAGTTTATAGGAAATTTCTTGGCCAAGTCATCCATTCGCTTTGGTATACCGTAAGTCTTAAAGAGTGGTCCCCAGCATGTGCTCTCCTGGGTGGAAAGGCAGGCTCCCTCTATGATGCTCAGGAGGTAGCCATGTGGCAGGAATTGAAAAGAGAAGGCTGCACTAGAAGGCTAACCACCCAGTCACTGTACCAGGTAACACCTAACTGAAGATCTCTTTGGAACTCTGACCACCTGATTGACCACCTGAAATTCTCCAAATAGAAGATCTGTTTGTGGAAAAAAATGCTTTGAAATTTTAAATAATCTTATAAATCCATCTGGAAAGACTCACTCCATTCTTCATCTCAACAGATTCAAGAAACAGAAATCAGATGAATACTTCTTTGTATAGACCTGTGTGAACAAATTACCTAAAGTCAAGGATTTAAAATTCTGTATTACTCAGAATAAGCTCTTTTTGGGTCAATTTAGCAGCCTAATTGTAAACAGAAATGAATTAGATGCAATTTTAGGTGATATGAATTAGGTGAATAGTGATTTTAGAAAAGGAGAGAAAGTGAGGGCTAGGAGAAAAGGGGGGAAGAGGGGAGGGAAATAGGGAGGGAGTGAAGAAAAAAGAAGGATAGAAGGGAAAGAACAAGAAATGAAGAGAGTAGAGAAGGAAATAAGAAAACAGAATAGAGAAGGAGAAATCACGTCACAACTAATTTCTGGAAACAAGTTACTAGTTTTAAAAAAAAAAGAAACTAGTGACATGAACAAGAATTGGCAGTGGCTTTGCTGGGTCTGTTGTTCCCACTTGTGTAAGTTATTCAGATCAGAGTAAGTGTAAATAAATACAAGTCAAGTGATATTGTTATTTTGCTCCTGACAAAACTGAAAGAATAACAAAATAATTTGATCTTACTGTAAAGATGAATCCCAATTCTGAAATGCATGAGCTAAGCCATCTCCAAGACAGTTCATATTAAAACACTCAAAACTGGGGGCGACAGTTTTCAACTGTTTCATCTGGAAAACTAGTTTACTTTCAAAATACATCTGCTGGTCATGGGATTACACAGAATGCATTCTCTGCAGGCTGGCTCCATGGCGCAATGGGTAAAAGCCTTGCACCCCATAACCTGGGTTTGAAATTCAGAAAAAGCGATGAGAGACCTAACGCTATAGAGCTGTCTTCTGACTACGACAGTGTGAGCCGTGGCATGCACATCTACGTATCTCGTGCATATAAAAATAATACTTTTAAAAGGATTCATTCTCTGCCTTATGAACAGGATTCATCAGTGTTCATATGATGTTGGTTTGTTCTATTTTTTTTCCTCCTGTAGAAAGCAAGGCTGGCCAGAATCCGGGCAGCCAAAAGTGGAAGTGCAAATGCCTACATGCAGAGCAAGCGGAACGGGCTGCTCAGCAACCAGCTGCAGGTACAGCCAAGCCCTTTGCTTCTCCATAACGTGGGCTCATCAGCATGATGGTGATTCAGCGCCACTTAGCCATATGATTTTATTTCGGGTAATTATGAAAATGAGTACTGGAACAACAAAGTGTCATTTTTATAACTTTCCGCCGTACGTCCCAGTTGCCTACAAGAGTTTAGGAACCGTGCTGGGAGATATTGCCCGAGGTTATGCTTTCTCTATCCTGTAATAAAGTCCAGCTCCACTTTGTCACCATGACATCTGTCCACTGTGACACTGATGATGTAAAAAAAAAAATTCTCAATCGTTCAGATACTTAGTTGTTTTTATCTCAAAATTACATGTGATCCTTAAAGTACACTTTGACTGGGGTCAGGCAGAGATAAAGTGATGGAGAGAGAACAGCCTTCAGTGTTTAAAAAGTCACAGGGTCAAAGCAGAAATTGATGAACTCTTAGTAACAGGGACTTGAATTTCCAACTCAAGGTGGTGTACACTTAAAAGACCAAATGGAAATGTACCCACTGATCACCCAGACTTAATTACACATTTGGCTTTTTATAGTAAGTGCCACCAGTTAGTCTCTGAAAACAGGCCAGGTAACCTGGCACACATGTGTAGCCCAGATTCTCTAGTTCCTGTAGTAAAGAGGAAGTTTCATGTCTCCCCTGTGTTTCAGTCCTCAGAGGATGAGCCAGCCTTCGTTAGCAAATCCGGATCCAGCTTCGAGACGCAGCATCATCACCTGCTCCACTGCCTGGAGAAAACCACGGTAAGGAGACAGCGGGGTTGCAGCCTTAGTAACGATTCAACGATTCAACGTAGAAATTGCTGTAATTATCCACATGCTTGGCCCTAAGTGGCTGCATGAACTCCATTCCAAGACACCAGGTGAATGGAGAACGTTAACTACTGAATCAAATATTAATTCTTCTCTGATTTAAATAAGAAAAATAATAAAATTTCAAGTGTCTCTACATCTAAAGAAAGAAGCTATCAAAGGTGTCACAAAAACAAAGGTGAGAAGGGACGAGAATGTGTTCTCAGTCATTCACAGGTGCGGTGAATACAGGTAGATACGTGAAAACGATCTCTTTAGTAGGATCAAATGATACTTGATCACAGAGAGTCCCTATGTACAGAGAAGTCTCCGTTTGCTCACTTGCATGAAATTAGTGGGAAATCTTTCACGGCAAAGTTGCCTGTTATTAAGCTAGCTGTCCATCTGCATCACAGTCGGTGATCACAGAACAGAACAAAGCATTTATCATGTGTGACTCAAGTCAGCTCGCTCACCAGCGATGCCTTATAAACAGTCTGAATTCTAGTGTGTCTCCTATCAACTTGATTACACAGAGAGTCGTTCAGCAAATAAATATCTCTTGCCTGCTCTGTACCCAATAGGGAGCTAAGATTCAAGATGCTGTGAAACCAGTATGAACTCTGTCACCACTAAACCTTCACTGATAGGGCAAACAGGAACAATGGATGTACTGGGGAAGGGTAGTGAGCAGTGGAAGCAAGGGAAGAGCCATGGTGTGGAGCAATGAGGAGCCATGAGTCGGCAGGCTCAAGAAAGCCTTCCTATGCAGCTCATTTCTTAGGGGGTTTGGAACATACAGATGTATTTGGAATTATATCTGTTGGGCAAAAGTTGACGTAGGTGCTGGAGACATAGCTCAGCCATTAAAGGCTCAGGCTCACACTTGAAAGATGATGTATGTGAAGAAAGAAAGAGAGAGAGACAAGGAGGCAGCAAAGGAATCTGAAGTTTCCTAGACAGTACATGAAGACTCCAAGAGAAAGATGGTAGTCAGATGCTGTGCTGTCAGGCTAGACAGGTGATGATTATCTTACAATAAGTAGAAAATTTAGAGATTTAATTAGGGTAGTTACATGATGTTTTTAATAGTTGAGTAATATTCCATTGTGTATCACATTTTCTTTATCCATTCTTCAGTTGAAGGACATCTAGGTTGTTTTTAGTTTTTGGCTCTAACAAATAAAGCTGCTATGAACATAGTTGACCAAGTGCCCTTGTGGTAAGGTAGAGCATCTTTTGGGTATATGCCCAGAAGTGGTATAGCTGGGTCTTGAGGTAGATCAATTTTTAATTTTCTGAGAAACCACCAGATGGATTTCCAAAGTGGTTATACAAGTTTGCACTCCCACCAGCAAAAATATTTCTTAATAACAACAAAAATAACCTTTTACCCCCCCCCCCAAATAGTTTAGTTTAAGCTACTTAAAATTTATATGCAGCAACTAGAAGAGGAGCAATTTCTTTCATTCCAGCCTGATTGCCATCCATAAGTGGTATAATGTGTGTTGCATGTGCATTGTAAGAGAAAAACACAGATTATGAATCCTCTGTGCAACAACAACAAAAAAAAAAAAACCACAGAATTCTCTCATGTAATCATTGTTCTTTAGACTCTGAAGAGTGGAATGTTGAATTCTATGTGCTTCAAAATGCTACTCTCAGCAAAGAAATGACAGAGTGGGTAACTAAAACAATCTATTTCCCATTAGGCTATGTATTGCTTCAATTGTTTTACTAATATTTTAGGATGAGGGATAGTTAAGTGAAATTCAAAATGTGCAAAGCCTTCCATTATAAGGCCATTTTGACACACATGCAGATAAAATCATAATTGAAGTCATTCACCAGCAATTCGGGCTAAGGAATATTTGATCTTACATTTCTGAGGCAGAATTCTCATGTAGGCATTTCAGGAGGTGATTCTTTACTATTTTTAAATTAAAATTAGTATTGTGTTCTGTGGAGTGTGGTATGTGAAATGATGTACCTGTTTGGTAGAAAAAGAGGTGATAAACTACAAATATATGGAGATGACCTAGAACACCCTGCTCAGATGTAGCCCATGGCAGCTCAGTCTTCAAGTAGGCTCCCTAGTAAGGGGAGCAGCGACTGTCTCTAACATGAACTCAGTGGCAGGCTTTTTGATCACCTCCCCCTGGAGGGTGGGGCCTTGCCAGGCCACAGAGGAAGATCCACACAGTCCTGATGAGACCTGATAGACTAGGGTCAGATAGAAGGGGAGGAGGTCTTGCCCTATCAGTGTACTAGGGGACGGGCATGGGAGGGACAAGAGGGAGGACAGGTGGGACTAGGAGAAGACGAGAAAGGGGGTCACATCGGGGTATACAAAGTGAATAAATTGTAATAAATAATAAATTAAAAAAAGAAGAACTACATTGCATTATCAAAAAAGAAAGAAAGAAAAGAAAAGAAAGAAAGGAAGGAGGGAAGGAAGGAAGGAAGGAAGGAAGGAAGGAAGGAAGGAAGGAAGAAAGAAAGAAAGAAAGAAAGAAAGAAAGAAAGAAAGAAAGAAAGAAAGAAAGGCCACAAAAGCTTGGAACTATTCTCTTGGGCGATATTTTTTGAGATTGTACACATATTACATTATTTATTTAAAGGCATTACATTTTAAGTTTATTTTTATTTACCTATCTTAAGCCTCTTTTCCCCTACTCCATCCCAATCCCTTCCAACACACCAACACCTGGTAGGAGAGAAGGAACATTAGTGGGGAAAGGGGGAGAGTTCTCTTTAGCTACTTCTGTTGGTTAGGGTTGTCAAGTTCCTTAGGGCAAGGCCATTCCTCCATTCAGGATATCTCCAACTTCTTATCAAACCTCATTAACAGCAATAAGGAGCAGAAGAGGGGAAGCATCAATAGCCTACCTCTTTCTCAGAGCTCCCTAACACTCTCTGGCTCTGGCTTTTATGCTCTGCCAGAGTCCTCAGATTTAAACTATATGCAGCTGGGAAAGAGCCCCTCTCAGAGCCCGCATAAGGCAAATAGTTTGCTGCTGTGGACCATCCGAAGCAGTCTCATATCCTACACCTGGGATCAAAACAAAGCCATGTTTACATCTACAACATTTATTAATAAACAATAGGTTTTTTCTGTATATTGAGAATTTTATGGTAGCATCAAAGAAATGGAAATGCCTGAGGTTTCTCAACTTCTTTTTTTAATTTTTATTTTATTTTTTAATTACATTTTATTTACTTTGTATCCCCCCTCTAGTTCTCTCCCTTCTCCCCTCCCAATCACTCCCTTCCTCTCCCTTCTCCATGCATGCCCCTCCCCAAGTCCACTGGTAGGGGAGGGTTTCTTTTTCTTCCTTCTGATCCTAGTCTGTTAGGTCTCATTCAGGAGTGGCTGCATTGTCTTCCTCTGTGGCCTGGTAAGGTTGCTCCCCCCCCAGGGGGAGGTGATTAATGAGCAGGCCAATCAGTTCATGTCAGAGACAGTCCCTGTTCCCCTTACTAAGGTACCCATTTGGACACTGAACTGCCATGGGTTACCATTTTCATGTCACATGATAGTGTTTGCTACTAGAAATCTAGCTTAGGACATTCTGTTGGCATTAGTCTCTTTTTATAAGTTTAGTCTGCTTGATAAAGTCAGTATGAGTTTATAAATTTCCTGTGGATATTATATGTATTCATTTAAGTTTTGTTTCTTTATTTTATAATACTATAATTTTATGCTAAAGTTAACAAATGACATTTTTTAAAGTGTTGCTCTGTAAATAAATACTGAATCAGCTCACACATGTCAATCTCCAGATCTAGACAGAAAAATTTTTTTCCACAACCAAAAAAAATGTTCCATAAAAGAATTTTCGATTTTGATACTTTAGTCTTTCTGAGAATCATTTCACTTACTGGTTAGAACAAATCAAACTGAATCTTAGTACATTTTCATTTTTAAAATACTGATATTTAATCTCTTTTAAATCACAAAATCGTTTATCTTCCTTCTTCACATTTTCTTACAACTCTCCCACAGAACCATGAGTTTGTGGATGAACAAGTCTTTGAAGAAAGCTGCATGGAAGTCGCCACGGTTAATCGCCCTTCAAGTCACAGTCCCTCTATCTCTTCACAACAAGGAGTCACCAGCACATGCTGCTCACGAAGACACAAAAAAACTTTCCGCATTCCGAACGCCAATGTGTCGGGAAGTCATAGAGGCAGTGTGCAAGAACTCAGTACAATTCAGATCCGATGCGTGGAGAGAACCCCACTATCCAACAGGTACCTGGGATTGCTCTGTACTGGGTAAATGCCTGTCCTGGTTCGTAGACCGTGCCAGCTGCAATCATGGTGCAACCAATGTGGTCTCTGAGTCCTAGTTCCTAGGAAACGAGGGACACAAAACTGACAAACCAAAGGGGAAAAAAGCATATTCATTAAGGCTCAAAAGTTGTATTAGGAGGCAGAGGAGATGGTTCATTGGATAAACTGATTGTCATAGAAGCCTAAAGACCTGAGTATAAATTCTCTAGAATCCACATAGGAGCTACCCATACATGGCAGTTGCATATAATCGCATCACTTGGGAGACAGAAACAGAGAATCCTGGGGATAAGGTGGGTATCTAGAATAGCTGCAGTTGATGAGTCAGCCAGCGACCCTGTCCCAGTTCATAAAGTAGAGAGTGATCAGGAAGACAGCTATCATACAACTCCTGCTGTCCCTCCTCCTGTGTCCCATGGGAATTTTGTGATAAGACTATCACTTGTAAAAACATTAGGTTTTACATACTTAGAAGTATGGCTTTGAGGTTCTTAACATATGGCCATCATTAAATGGGAGCTTTTAAGCAACTATACACTTCAGATGTACAATTCATAAAATCCCTGAGATTTTTATTCCCTTAAGTGTTACAAAATCTTCATGAGATGGCATTCCATCCAGGTACTCTAAGCCCCTCAAAGTCTCTGCCAAAGAAACCATTTCACTTTGCCCATCTCAGATATCTAGCTGTTATCTGAGCCCATTTTGTTATGCTTTTTTGAATATACTTTGGGAAACAATTGGTTGAAGTAAGTTGAGCAAAATTTGGGGGATGAAACATGTTAATGAACTGATTAACATTTAAAATAATATATAGTAAAGTGGTTTTAAATATGGTATTGCTTATATATTTTAAATGTTATTTAATAGTAGTAAAATATGCGTTCTTTGGTTACATGAAAAACAACTTAAAATAAATAACTTATTTGTTCAAACCTACTTTTCTCCCTCATCAGCCGATCCAGCTTAAATGCCAAAATGGAAGAGTGTGTTAAATTAAACTGTGAACAACCTTCCGTGACCACAGCAATAATAAGCATCCCAACACCTCCAGTAACCACACCAGAAGGCGATGACAGGCCTGAGTCTCCCGAGTATTCCGGGGGAAATATCGTTAGGGTGTCTGCTTTGTAAAACAATTGGCACGAAAGTCTAAGAGAATTTGAGTCCTGACCATGGAAAAAAAAAAAATCTGAAGTAGAAGAAAGAAGAAACAATAACTTTTTTTGCACATTAAGACAGCAAAGCAAGAAGGTTGGCAAAGAAACAAAAATAATTGAAGGTTGAGGATGTGAATCAAACCACCAAAAGGCATTTCTAGGCAGAGTTCGACCTGTTCATGGAGGAGGACTCTGTGACCCTTTGACTTTGTGAATGAGCACAATGAAATGCCATCTACCAATGCTTCTTATGATCAGAACTCTTTTTTAATAAAACAAATAAAATGAATCTTTGAACATAATGTTCCAGTTGAATGCAAAACAAAAAAAATACGGAAAACATTTTGATAAAAATTTTTCCTGTTAAATCCATGAACATTGGCTCTGGTGAAGAATACTGCAGATGGAAACATTCATACGATCTATTTGTCTGGACTGAAGGAAACCACCCTAATGCATGCTAGAATTCTTTGGAGCAGTGATCTCAGTTTCCTTATGTTGTCTTCAGAATAGGCATGATAAACTCTACCTGTAGAAAGGGGGAATTTCTGTGCACTTACAATGAGCTGATTGTCCGTGTTCTCTGGTGGGCTGTGCAAATAAACTCCTTTTAGCACTGTAGTCTTTCTCCTGGGGATGCGCACTAGGAAATCTAAAGTGTTCGGATAGTTCAGTATTAATTATTGTTTAACCCTGCACCTAGTCGTTGTTATCAGTGCAATAATTCATTCGATATCTGTTGTATTAGGCATCAGGATTTTTTTTTTAGACTTTCCATATATTCATAGATACAGTAAGAGCCACATTCATAGAAAACTTCTGGTGTGGCCAGGTTTTAGGTGACTTTTTAATCCAAAACTATGTGTCACCAATGTTTTCTGGTAGTATTCTTTGGTCCACTGTATTCCTGTGACCCGGTGTGTTATCCATCCCTGGATCTCTCTAGTGTCTTTCTACTGGGCTTATCCATTAATGACAGGATTCGTATTTATTTACTGTAGTAAAAACAACAGTTTCCTGCATTACAGTTCCCAACCGGCTATTATAAGAAGACTGTCAGAAACCCCCTTGACAAAACTAGAGTAAAGGAGCTGACATGAAATATCTCCAGTGTTTTCACTATTTATGGAAAACCCAGACCCTGAAAACACCCATATGTGTTTTATGAGAGGAGTTAAATGAGACTGAAAAAAGAATCACAGGATGGATGATTTCAGAATCTAATTCAGTGTATTACTTATTTCGCTTCAGATCTTGAATACAGTTTGAGAACAACTGAAATGCAGAGGTAAATGAAAATGCTTTATGTAGCGATATTTGATGAGAGCATGCTTTTGATGCCATCCAAGAAAGCAACAATCGATCTCAAAAGATTCCAGTGCATCACAAGGCACAAAGTTCTCTGCCAAACCAGGAGGACAAGAGTGTGGCGATGCGAAGTTGACCACTGTGTACATTTAAATGAAAAGTCGTGCTAGCTTCTCACCCTCAGATGTCCTCAGACGTGTCTGCACGTGACAATGTGAAAAGTTCTATGTCAAATGAAAAGTTTTGTTCATTCTAAGCCACCACCCTAAGAATGAAAGCTTAGTTTCTATACGTGGGAAAGGTTAACAAGTATTCCTCTGTCATGAAGATTTTGAAATGCTTACCACAGTTCACCATAAAAAGAAATTAATCCAAACATTTTCAGGTAGAGCCAGACATGGTCACTTCCCGTTTAGAGACCAGCTTCTAGAACACGGCTAGGCACACCTTCATCAACAGCTGAGTGACAGGAAGAGACGCTCAGCTGACGCGCCGGAACACCTGGCTTTACTCCTAGCGTGTCTTTGAAAAGTTACTAATATTCTTGCGGCGTGAATATTAACAATTCTATTAACACCTGCCTGTTGTCACTTTATGCTTCTAGAGCAGATATATAGTGAAACTTATTTGATGGCATTTATTGAAAAAAAAATCTTTTAAAATATAGACTAAGGAAAGTACAATCAGGAACACTTAACATCTTTTGATTCCCAATAAGTTCTATTTTCATGTTCCTTACAGTACTTAAAATGAAATACACTTAGCTTATTTTCGTTGATGATTATTCTTCCTCTTTTTATTTGTCATTTATCACACATTATTAATTTCTTCAGCTTTTCAGAAAAGAGATTTAAAAAACTTTTTGATGTTTTAGGTGATTTGAAAATATACTGTGTTGGTGGTGAATGACTATTGATGACTTTGTTAAGTGCATCTGTATTGTAAGTGAAATGTAATTATTTCTGTGTATCATATGGAGTAACTAAGGTCATTGTTTTTTGACAATTTTGTTTGAAATTCATATATCTTATTTCAAAGGATAGCATAATATCTGCATTATGCTGGAAAAAAAATAGACCTTTGGCGAATACTTAAATAAAACATGTGCATGCTTGAACAGGACAACGTGGTTGACTATGGCCCTTTTTTCTTGGATTTAATTCCTTTCTAAAAGATGTGTCCCACTAATAATAAATCTAAGAGGACCCTGTGACTCATGCAGGCCAAAAGAACTCAGCTCTTCACTGTAATCTAAACTGGTTAAGACAATAATGCCAGGGGGAGGTATCATAGGAGGGAAATCACTTAGAAAGCCCAGACTTTGAGCTAGACACACCGTTTTCACTGTTGCTTGTATCAGGCAAAGTGAAGCTCTGAAATTACAGATTCAGTCAGAGTTTGACTCAATTCTTAGTCAAAATAGGGTTTGGGGTAGAAACTGGGTGATTTATATGCCTATAACTATGTGTACGCATAGATGATAAATGACAGATAGATAGGTAAATAGGCAGAGAGAGAGAGTGTGTGTATGTGTGTGTGTGTGTGTTGTTTTAAGATGTTCTTTTTACGTTTTTAATTAAAATCTAAATATATCACTACCCCTTTCCTTTTCTCTCTTGAACCCCTTCCATTGTTCATTCCCTCTAATCTATTCCAGGCTCCCACATACACACACACACACACACACACACACACACACACACACACAAATTGTTAGCCTATTTTTTATTGTTGTTGCACTCATATACAGGCAAATATACAAATACAACCTATAAAGTCCGTTTTTGTTGTTTATGTGTTTCTGTTTCAGGGGTGACCCCTTTATGTTAGATAACCAATGAGGAACTCATCCCTGTTCAAAAACTATGCATGTACTGACAGCCTTCTCAGTATCCTGGAGGAGACAAAATGGAGAAACTACATTGAAAAAAATCTTGTGGAGGGAAAAGAGACAAACCACTTAGTAGAGAGACTAATTTTCTCTTTCTGTACATTATCCTTTTAGTATACATTCTCCATATTTGTGTTAATTATTTTTGTAATAAGCTGTGACTTCCTGAGGTATCAGTCTTGCCTTAAAAATATTAGTTACCACTCTCTTTCCTTCACTTTAGTCATAACAACAGCTTGGATCCTCTGTGGAGTTGAACTCATGGCTGCCAGCAACACTGCCAAAAGAATACAAACTGTTCTTGATACCAAACACAGGAGCACTCTGAGTCCCACAAGACAGACATACCCTCTTCCCTAAAAAGTTACTGAAGTGTTGGCTTTGTCATCTCACAGGTGTGCGGATGGGAGTACACTCAGCAGAATCACCTTTGTAGGTGAACCACCTGCAAAGATGTAGCTGATGGGCAGCTTACACCTCATGTGGGTCCTCTGGTAAGGGAAGTGAGGGCTGGATTGGTCATGGACTCACTTGCCAGCTTTTTGATCACTTTCCCCTTGGGACTGCCTTGACAGGCCACAGCTGAAGAGGACACATTCAGGCCTGATGATAGTTGATGAGCTGGGGTGGGTGGGAATTTTTTTCAGGAAGAAGGAGGAGGGAAGAAGGAGGGATGAGGGATAGAGGATGAGTCTGGGAGGGGAGGAGGGAAGGGGTCACAAGGTTGTAAAGTGAATAAAATAAGTCGATGAGAAAGATGTATTTTTTTAAAGATAGGATGATGGGGTATTTAAAAATGAGAAATTAAAGTTATTCTGTGTCAGCTAGTTGTATTTAGGAGGGTAAAATTTTATAAAGTTATTATGTTTTATTTCTAAGCAATAAATATTTTAAACAATAACATGCTTGCAATAGACATATTTATAGCAAAAGCTTTCCCGTGGAATTAGTATTCAGTCCACATTTTCAAATGTTTTGTTTGTTGCTGTTCATCTCACATTTTCCTCTCTTTTCTTCAAGCACTAATTATGTGATATATTTTCAAAAAAAAAAAAAGAAACAAAAAATAAACTAGTAGATCAAGCTTCCTCAAGGAATTAGACAGCAATGGGCAGAGGCACTCTCTGTCAGCTACACTACAGCTTTCTCACAAGCCTATTCTCCAAGTTTCCTGTCTGCCATGTTCACACTTTTCTTTGCCTCAATCTCCTGAAGGCATTTCCCTGAAAAGCACTACAGGTATTGTTCTTCAAAGTACTTTCTCTAATTATTCCTTCAGGCTAATGAAATCTCTGGGCAGGCAATGGTTCTTTCTACCAACAGCAAGAGGTAAGCAAGTGAATTTCTGCTTACTTAGAGAAAACCCAAAAAGAGAAAGCAAATCCAAAACAGAGGTGGAGCTCATTACTGTGATTTGATGGTTGGGAAATGGAAAGGACCTTTTCTTCACGCATTTCTTCTCCACATTTATATCATCGTTTTGGAGAATGTGAAAAGGAGTTAAGAGAGTTAGTTTTTCTCCAAGGGTAATTTTGCTGCTGTAAATCTTGACACCATACCTCAGATTAGTTTGTGTTAATTAATTAATTAATTAGTTAGTTAGTTAATTAATCTGATGGAAGTATCTGAGGTGATAGGACATCTGGGCTGACAGAGCACATGGTGTGAGAAGAGCCAACCAGCCAGAGGGAGATCTGGAAGAACCCTGGAGCACAAGGGGAGGGTGTGGATGGGGCTGAGCAGTGGTAAAAAAAAAAAATGCATCCTTTGCTTCAGTTTTAATTGATGAGCCAGCGTTTTTAACACTTGTTTTCAATCTATTCAATTACTTTTGGGTGTTGTGAACTGTAACACCAAAGGCATTATCAGTTT